ATGAAATCCAAACAGAAGTACAATTATGTGAGTTCTTTCTTTTATTTCACTCAAGCAATGAGAAAGGATTGGAATTACATAATGGTTCCAATTATGACAAGTTCACAAATGCAAGATCATCATTAATTATGCTGCCTTTTCATTGTGTGGTCTAGTTTGCAGCAGTTTGATTGCAACCTCTGAATTTCTGGGAAATGTAGACGAATACTCTGACAGTGTTCCCTCCCATGTTTGCAGTGCTGTAGTTTTCTACTATCTGGCCAATGCATTCAGAAGCCACAGCACTGTAGCTCCCGAAGTTAAGAGAACATTTTGTCAGGCTACATAGTGATTTGTACCTAACAAGACCCATCTCTTCAAACACTCAATGCAGAAATTCCGTATTAGTACTTAGATTGGGGATTACATGGGTAGTCCAGGGATATCAGGTTGCCCTCTCACACCTAATTCTGACTTATTTCTGATCAAGTGTAAAACTAACCCAGTGTGTGAGAAATGAGAACCATCCATTAGGCTGATATCAGTGCAAAAACGTAGCATGCCATGTTTGCTCCCCAAATTTCTATCACTGTGTATTGATGCCCAGTGACTAAATTGATACTCAGGGTGCTCCACAATCCTGTTCCTATGGAAATATCATAAGCTGTTGTTTTAAAATAAGATGCCAAACATCAGCATAATTTATGCAAACAGTGGAACTAGTTTCAGTTCACTTATTTAAACACTTAGTTCCCCATTCCTAGACAGTTTGAACTAAAATAAATAAGTAACTATAGTTGACAGAGATGTATTTCTGAACTTTCAGCCGAGCACAATTGCAAGAGACAGATCAGAACCATTTTTACAAGGACTTGATTTCTTTGTTTACTTTGTTTCTGGCCTAATGAAATACACCAGTTAGCATTAACAATATTGGTTTAACCTGTATCTCATTTGCTCCATGTATTTTCCAGGTGCAGAATCAAAATCCTCTTCTTCTATCCAATCTCTACTCCCAGCCACTTGGTCAAGTCTGCAGCGTTGTCAAGCTGAATCCCCAGAAAGATGGTTCCCAGAGAAGAAGATGGCATCAGGTGCATTTTTAAAAAACATAATCTTATTTTTAGCTTTGAAGTTATGGGTATGGCTGGGTGGGTGACTATGATGGACTATCAAGTATAGCTTGCCTTATAGCAGGGGTAGGCAACCTTGGCTCTTTTATAACTCGTGGACTTCAACTCCCAGAACTCCTGAGCCAGCATGGCTCAGCTTGGAAACCTCTCCCTTTCCCATCAGCATGGCTGGCTCAGGAATTCTGGGAGTTGAAGTCCATGAGTCATAAAAGAGCCAAGATTGCCTACCCCTGCCCTATAGGATAAAGCTGAGCCTGTAGGCAGAGCTTGCACTCTAAAATGAACTTCAGGATTTATTTCAAAGATAATTGGATATTGAAAGAAAAAACAACCTTCAGAAAAGATCAAAGCACTTATTGGCATACTGGTGGTCCTCAAATTTATAATCATAACTGAGCTTGCAATTACAGCTGTAAGTTGTGGCACTCACATCCCCATACTCAATTTTACAACGTTTTATGTGGCAGTTGTTAAGCAAACTCATTGCTCGTTATCTGGTTATGTGACCATGGGATTCTGCAAATAGCAGTAAATGAGGGCTGGTTGCTAAGCACCCAAAATGCAGTCATGTGATTGGAGGGGGTAGTGGCTGTTGGAAGTTCAAATCTGGATAAGTAGCTTTTTCATTATAATTTCGAACAGTTGCTAAGTGGCTGGTCATAAGTTGAGGACTACCTGTACATGTTAGCCCTGAATCTAACTAGTTTATCTGTTTTAATTAATTATTTATTTATTTTATTTATTTTATTAAATTTATATCCCGCCCTTCTCCTTGTGGACTCAGGGCGGCTTTCTATGGAAAGGAGGCAAGAATCCCCAAGATCCTTAAATTTCTATCTCAGAGAAGAGGTAGAAGGGAGAAACGAATTGTTTCTCTTGGAAGCAACCAATTCATGGTGCCATATAGAGGTTTCCAGGCCTTCAATTTCCCATCAGAGAGAAGGAAGTATAAATGCAATGGCCTCTAAAGGCGCTTGAAGTGCTTTGAAGAGAGGTTCCTGAAAGAGCAGGTCCTTTTCCACTGTTACAGCAGGGGTAAAGAGAGAGTTGTGTGGTGGTGTGTAATATGAATGGGGCAGGTATGTATGTAATGTAAGAGAAAAGGTTAGACCAGTAGACTTTGAATGTTGAACTAGGTCTCTGTTACCATAAGCTCACAATGTACTCCTAGGCATTTCTAGCTCTGATCGCAAAGAAAGATTCCTTATCCTTGATTTAAACAAAGTTCAATGAAAAGTTAGGGCCATTTCCTACTATGTAAAATATGTTATTCACGGTCCTTGGTGCAGAATGACTTCAGTTAGCAAAATGCCTGCACCCATCATAAGGATGAGATTAGTGTGATAAACATTAGAGTTATTTGGATCTAACTCTGGAAAATATGGTTACCGAATAAAATCTGGCTTGTCACTTTTTCTGAGAAAAAAATGTTATTTTATTATAGCAAGTAAAAGTGAATGACATGGCCATGGTGACGTTCTCCCTGTTACAAGATCTGCCTTTGCGCTATTTGAAGTGGTTGTTGGTGAATTAAAATTCAACCCTACATAGAGAAACTAATAGAAAAAGCATAATGCAGTAGGAGATCTTATTCCTTTTTAAAAAATACAAGAGGCTTAATAAACTTCAAAGAAACCATTGGGGTTTTTTTACTTGGAACTCCAATATAGTTTATAATTTAGTGTAAATCAAATCACATTTTATGTTTACAGATGGATTAGCAGAGCTGACAAAAAAAGAGGGGAAAATTTAAGTGAACCTACCGTTGTTTACAAACCTTATACTGTATCTTGGCAGCTTTGAGGCCCTTGTCAGCTATTGATGTATTCCAGACTTTTAAACATTTTTAGATTGCTAGAAAACTTGGGAAGCTGCATTGTGATTTTTTTAAAAAAGGCCTTAGTCTTCATTAACACAATTTACTGCCTAAATGTCCTTGCTCTAGGAGCTTTATGGCAATGTTTGATATATGAACCTGGCTGGAATTTTCACTTTATAGCTATTACAGGTTAGCTCAACTTCCTCCCAAAATTAAGCATATAATTGTATGTAAAGCAGTTGTTTTTTTTCAAGAACAGCACATCCTGACGGTCCTTTTCTCCAAGGTTCTCCAAACTCCTTTGAGAGGTTCCAAAAAGATTAGTGTTAATCTGGAGACATTATAGTGATACCTGTTATTATATAGTGAAATAATTTCAAGGTTCTCTCATTCAATTGGGGATTTTTTTTAAAAAAGTAACATGTTCTGCCTTGTTTCATCAGTAACATTTTGAGTTCACCCCAAGTTTTGTTCGAGGCAGGTTAGAATAAACCATCATAAAAAATCAAAATAACTTCTGGTAATTCATATCTTTACTATAAATTTTATTGCAAAGTTGATTAATGAATTTATTAAGGAATGAATGTCCTAGATATTTTATTCCAAGTGCTGGACACTATATAACTCCTGTAATTGAGGCAAAGGATAAATGTGTTTGGAGTTACGTTTCTTCCATAAGTTTTTACCTACATTCTAATTTGCTATAACTCAGGGGATGAACTCAAAATGTATATTTAAAAGTGAATTTTCACCTGCACTAAGTAATGTATAATATATAATTGCTATCAGACACCATATTACCATAAATATTTTGATGTATTTAATCTTTCACGAACAACATTACAATACCCAAAGAAATGGGAAATTGACATCTCAAATAAAATGAGAGCCCATTTGATGTAGTGGGGAAGGTACTGATTTAAAAAAAACTAGGAGACTGTGGGTTCTAGTCCCTTCCTTAGGCATGAAAAACCAGCTCGGTGACTTTGGGCCACTTTTTCTTTCTCAGCCCAGCTCTTTAAAGATTAACTCATTTTATTATCCATAAAAAATTTCCCTGGTCTTATCTACTTCATGAGATTAAAATACTCATGAATGAGGTATTTTTAGTTGGGAGGGAAGCAGGTGAAAAGTAGTCATGAAAATAGGTAGCATTGTTTTAAGGCCCTGAAGAGATAGAAACAACATTCCTTAGATCACGGTAATAAATAAAGTGGTAGTATTAGACTACCATTTTTGTCTTTTAAGCCCTTAAAACAATCCTGCCCCTTCTCACAATTCCATTCTCTCTTGCAACCTCATTTTCTGTATTGATTCTATTCAGCTGATGAAATGTACTTGAGTATCAAAGAGGATTTTCAAAATAATAAGTGTAGAAAAATGTAAAGTGTGGGAATCGATGAGGAGAGCAAAGTTAAAAGTGGCCATCTGGGAGGTTGGGGTGAGAGTCGGAATATTAATCTTTTAGCTTCTCTGCCTTGTTAAGAGATCATACCAATGCTACCCCCATACTAAAAGGCATAATAGATTTATTTTGGGAATATGAACTTCAGTGTTCAGTCCCAGCTTAGACTGGAAGTCTGGAAAAGATTTCTGAGTCACCAGGGAGCTGCTATTAACTCAGTCAACATCCTTGGACTTGATTGTCCATCCTTGGACTTGATTGTCCAGTGTTTAGCAGCTCCTTTTATATTCCCATGCCCCCCTTCATTGCAGCCTTACTTTACTTCCTCTAAAAAAGTTGACAGTAGTCCTTCTGCCTGCATGGTGACTTATCAGGTAACCCCAAAGAACTGGATCCAGGAAGTCATCCTGCACAGATAGGAGAGGGCACTCTGGAAACTGAGTCCGTGTCACTGGCTGTAGGGGAAGGGTTCCCAAATGGTAAGTTTTTGTCTAATTGCTATTTTATGTTGGAAGGAAGGAAGGAAGGAAGGAAGGAAGGAAGGAAGGAAGGAAGGAAGGAAGGAAGGAAGGAAGGAAGGAAGGCTCACTGAATTTCATTTCTTCGAAATGAGCACTAGTGTTCTTCACATCATATTGCTACTAGCAGCGTAAAAGATTAAGCTATGAAAATGGAAGGAGTGAAGGGGAATAATATTTTTGATAGCTACTCTGTAATTCCAGATGTCAGTGCAAAAGGTATCAAGATTGATCAAATGATGTGCCAATTTCTTATATCAGCTGACACCTTGGCAACAGTTAAACAGTATTCAAAACGTTTGTGTGTAGAGCCTATTTAGATTGAACTACAAGTATAGGGTGTATAACTGAAATGAATGACCTCCCCACTCTGAAACATTCTCCGATAACTACTGATTTTCTTGCAATAATTTGTTACGAAGTCAGCCGCAGAAAAAAGATATGTGCTAAAAAAATATCTCCATGATAGAAAAATTTGGGGAAAATGAGGCGCTCTAACTTAAACCTTGAGGGTGAAACAACTGATTTTAGAATTATGTTAATCCCTTTTAATAGATTGCAGTAACAGTAAATGGTGGAGGAAACAAAAAGTCAGGATGGAAAAGTTGTTATTGAGTTGGTTTGGGGAGAGATAGCAAAGGAGACTTTGCTATATTAGGCAGAAATTGGCAAGCATCTTATTCTATAAGTTCCTCTTAGATTTGCTAGGCATATCAAAAACGCCATCTTTTGCCTGTTGAGACCTTTTATGCATTATTTTCTATTTGTATATGAATCTTCCCTAAGAATGGAAGACCAATGGCAACAGATGTAATCCGCACATTCTTAGCATCCCTTCCCAGAACCATCATGAAGCCCAGTTTTTTTTTCAACTGCTGCACCTCAGTTTCTGGCTGCAGATGTTTACTACTTGAGACGTGAAGCTGCTTTCCAACTGTAATTATGTCACCTAGTGCAGGGATAACCAATGTGATAGCTTTTAAATGTCTTAAACTGTAACTTTCATAATCTTCAGGATTATGAAGATCTTTTATCTGGATGCCAACCAAGCCTTTTCTTTTTAAGAATCTCTAGAAGAGAATAGCTTTCCTGCTTCTGTTCCCTTGCCTCGTTTAAACTAGTGCAGAAGAGTTTTATTGTTATACAGCTATAGCTACAGTTATAATTTGTTTAAAATAGACCTTTCCGTGATCTAGAGTCCTTATCTATTCAAAATAATGGAAGTAAGAAAAGTTTAAATATATTATTTTTCTCCCATTTAATTTCCTCTCTTTCTCTTTCTCTTGAAGCAATTTCTCTCTCATTTTCTGTCAAGAGTCGCTCTGCACAGGATCTCAATCTGCAGCTACAAGAGGCAGCAAGAAAGAAATTATGGGCCCTGGAAAATGACGATAAAGATGTTTGTGCTGTTTTCAAGGTGAAGTGGTTATTACTATTGTTTTCAAAGGAAACTGTACTTCTGTAACTTCTTGCTAGTAATGAAGTAACAGTTCCTCAGAATCTTAAGTACGATCTTTTGCTGATGTACTGCCTAGAATACCTTTAACTGGAAATACTGAAGATTGAACCACATGCAGAGCATATGTTGTTGCACAGCTGTATGGCATCTTCTCATATTGCTCCGCATGGCTGCATAACCCCACCAGAGATTGGAATATTACCATCTCCATTTATTATTTATTGCTAAGTGACATTGTGAGTGCAGTAAAATGTGGAAATCAAACTATCAATAAGCCTCTGACCTATAAAATAAAATGTGATGTGTAAACACACACACATATAGCCTTTTCGTCCCTGACTCAAAATAATTTAAGCATAGCTAGGCTACAACTGCATTAGACCCAAATTACAGATGTGTACTTCATGCCCGTGCAAATTTTAACCTAGATATTTGGGCACAATTTAAATGATGCAAAATGTTTTAGAATGATTTTATTAACATTCACTAACATCCTCGACCCCCTGGAGGGGAGGGCCGAGGATTTCGCTCAATATCTGCATGACAAAGTCGCGCGGATCCGAGAAGGCTTGGACTCCGACTGGTCGGCCCAGGGGGAGGAGACAGAAGCAGGCCTTGAGACGGTTGAATGGGAGGAGTTTGACTCTGTTTCGCCCGAGGACGTGGACAGGGTCCTGGGGAGGCTCAATGCAACCA